TTCAAATTTTAATAATTCTAAGAGAACTTCTTAAGATGTTGGCATTAACTAATATAATTGAATTTAATACTTCTTATTCACAAAATAGATAGAAATCTTCCAACCACATTTTTTTAAGTGATGTTCTGATGTATTCAGGTTTCATTTCTCTGAATAAATTTTAGATGTCATTCAATGTTCTGTTTTCATGTAAATTCTCTATAGATTCTTCCAAGAATTTCATAAAATAGACACCAATAGGTGTATCAATAAGTACATCTCTATATAAACTGCTATAATCATCTCCTTCAAGAACTTTAATATTTTTGATTTCAGGGAACCAACCCAAAGGATCAATATTACTCAAAAGTATTTCAATATCAATTTTATTCTTTAATCCTTCTATCATATTGACTACATTATCAATCATAAAACGACATCTTTTATAATGAAATAATAAATCATACCTCAAATGAAATAAGTATTTTGTAAGTGTTCCAGTGGATTAAGCTTCAATATATTCAAATTCATCAGCCAATTTCTTTTTAAGTCTCTATCTTAAAATGGATGTTGGTATTTAAGGATTATCAGCTTATAAGCAATTCTATAATAATAATTGTCATGTTTACTTAATAATCTGTTTCTTCCAAGAAAGACTTTAATTCTGGAATTGAGGCACAATTCTTCATCTATTAATATTGAGCTTCAGTTAAGAAACTTGCTCTTAATCCTCTGATTATGGCTTCTGCATATCCATCATCAACCCCAAAAACACAAAGATCCATAAAATTTAATTTATTAAATTCCTATGCACTCCATGAATTCAAATATGGATAGAGATAATCCTGAGCATGTTCCAATTAATATCAATTAGACTGAGAATAAGAAACATTAATGTTGTCATCATAATCATTAACATAATCATTAAAATAATCATCATCATCATCATCATCAACATTCATATAATCCATTTGCAAATGCTCCAAAAGAAATGAGAGTCTTTATATGGTATGCTATTCTTAATGGGGATTATATTATGTAAATATTTATGCAATTACCTATGATGGCTTAAGGCTATTATTTTTACATGATGATATAGTATACTTATCATACAATTAATTAGCCAGACTATCATGACACCTATTTATAAACTTAATGGGCATCTTAATTAAATTATGCCAGATAATATTTTGAGATAAATATTTGGAGGACTTGCTATTTATTATTTTATTGCTCATGGCTTTCTACTCTATTTAAATTATGAAACATACCCTGAATTGGTATAAATATACATTTAATAATTTAGAATTTTATTTTGTATATAATTTATGCAATATTTACTACTTACTTTTTAGTTCTATTATGTCCAGCAGGTTAATTCAAATAAGCAGATTTCAAAGAACTATTAGATACAAAACCAGAACTATTTACACTCTCTAAAATGAATAGAAATATATGTGTTTTATGCTCTATTCCAAAAGTTGTTCGATCATAACATTGTTTATATTGTCAGAGGTATTTAATAATAATATTAATATAGATGTATTAAAAAATGGGAATTTCATTCATTGTAATTAAACACATGTATTGGTTTATACAATTATCCATTCCTCATTCTCTATCTTTTTTCTTGGACTTTATATTGTTTTTTCATACTCAGATAATTTACATTAGTATAAAGAACATAAGAAAAGTCCTTTTTAGATTTGCTCATTATATTAATCAATATATGGCAACTCTATTATTTTGGTTAATAATATTTATTGTGTTTATTGAGAGTAATAGTTTGAATCATATCTTAAGATTTCATATAACATAACTCCATCAGAATTAGGATAATGGAGAAAATATTCCTATTTGTGGGCTAATGAAAGGGGAATGTTTGGAAATCCATTTGACAAAGGATTCATAAATAATTGGATTTCCTTCTTTAAACCTCTTTTTACTAGTAAAGGAGATGAAAATTGGGCTACTAATAAATATATAAATATTACTGATATCCCTAATCATCCTCTTGGAGCAAAAGCATAATAAATTATAGATTAATAAATTCGACATTTAAGAATGATGGAAAAGGATTTAATTAAAAGATAAGCAGTTAATGAGGAATCAGAAGGTTTATTAAATGAGTGACAAAATTAATTTGTTGCTTTATAATATAAAATGTTTATATTTTAATTTAGAATTAATTTAATTTAAATTATCATAATTTTCCATAATTACAACTTTATATGCAAAAAACATTTTTTCCTAAAATTTATTATTTAATTTTAAGAAGTCAGAATTTTTTAAATGGGATCACAATTATTTAAAAAAGGAGTAGATAAACTATAACCACCAACAAAATCATTCTTTGAATTTGAACTTAATAACATTGATGGGTAGAAAACTTAACTTTCATAATTCAAAGGCAAAAAAGCATACATTTGTGTTAATGTTGCCTGTTCTTGTGGGTTAACATCATCAAATTATAGTGAACTTGTTGAACTATATAAATCATATAGGTACCATATAATATATTATTTAGTGAATAAGGTTTAGAGATATTAGGATTTCCATGTAATCAATTTATGGGTTAAGAATCTAAACCTGAACCTGAAATAAAGGAATTTGTTCTATCCAAATATGGGGTTTCCTTTCCATTATTTTAGTAATGATATAAAAATATTTAAGAAAAATTGAAGTTAATGGTTAAAACACTCATGAACTTTATAGATATTTAAGATTAAACAGTTCATTAAAAGTTAGTAGTAATGAAGCTAAAGAAGTACCATGGAATTTTGGAAAATTCTTATTAAATTCATAAGGTTAGATAGTGAAATTTTATGATCCAGATGTTAAACCAAAAGAAATGAAACAAGAAATTGAAAAGTTGTTAAATCAATGATATTATTATTTGCATTTATTACTTATCAAAAGTAATTATTATTTTTGTTATCTAACTTATTATTGTATTATATATATTTTATTCTCAAAATTTTCTAATTAATAATGATCATCTCATTTAGATATTTATTTAATTAATTAGAACTTACATTCATATTTAATCCTCTATTCTATATAAAATATAAATAGACTATTAGAATTTATGATTTTCTATATTGTTAATAATTTTAGTACTTATAAATTATTAAATTTTACTTGTTAGAGAAAATCAAAAATGGTTTAGAATGAATACATTATAATAATATAATATTTCTTAATAATTAATAGAGTTTTCAAATATCAATTTATAATAATTCTATTGAAGAATAAATACAGAAACTCAAATAAGAATTAATAGGGTGGTATTTGAACTTAGAATTTATATTGAGTAAGTTTTTTCAATGTATCAGTTTAGAGGGTCTAATTTAATTATTAAACACTCAGAATATGTGAGGAGTTTTTTCATTTATATTCATCATATTTGTTATGAATTTTAATTAATTATGGGTATTGGCCCCATTTTCTATTGTGATATTGATCATAGCATACTTGGAAATAATGATGATTTATGTAAACTAGAGTTCTTAATATAGATTTTCATATATCCAGAAGAAAAGGAAATACTTTTGTTGATTTTACATCATTTATTATTGTTGGCTGTTATATACTCATTTTACAAAACATCCACTACTAAACCTGGAACGCCAACATAAACTGATACCGAAGGTGATCCTTTGACTACTTAAAGAAAAACTTGTAAATTTTGTTAACACAATAAACCCGTGAGATGTCATCATTGCAGACAATGTAATAAATGCATATTAAGAATGGATCATCATTGTCCTTGGGTGAATAACTGTATAGGGCAGAACAATTATAAATATTTTTTTTGCTTAGTTTTTTATGCTAGTAACTTAAAATGAATATTTAGAGCCTTAACATCAGTTGTTTACTTTTGCATATATTTCAATAAAATTTTAAAAAATCCTCCAACTGGAAAGATAGATACATACTTTATAATATTTGCTGCTACTCTAAGCTTTACATTAATGATTGTCTTATTTTTATTCTTAGCATTTCATACAAAGTATAAATATATGTAAAATAAAAGATTAATAAGTAATAATCAAACAACACTAGAATACTTTGAAAAATAGAGAGAAGACTACAATAAAGACATAGTATCTAATTTTAATGAATTTTTGGGACCTGGATGTTGGTTAATCCCTTATTGAAATATAAAAGTTTATTATTTTTATTCCATTTTAATTAGAATTAAATCATAAATAATTAATAAATTCATCAATGAAGAAGTTAGCTGAATTAACAAATAAAGAAATCATTCACTTATTAAAAAACCAAGCCCATTTAGAATTATAATCTAGTTTTTTGTATCTATAATATGCATATTGGTTTGATAATAACAATTTTGAAGGAATTGGTAAATTTTTCAAAGCGGAAAGTGAAGAGGAAAGAAAACATAGTATTTAGATATTTGATTACTTAAATGTAAGAGGTGTACAATTGACTATTGATCCATAATTAACAGCTTTCTAAAATATGAAGATTCATTTTGAAAAACCTGGTGATTATTTTGAAGCCTATTTAGCAAGAGAACATTTGAATTATTCTTAACTTGATTATATAGGAAAATAAGCATAATAATGTGAAGAGATATTAACTCACAAATTTATAGGTTCAATGTTAGAAGATTAGGCATCATCTGTGGATGAGGCAGAAAAATTATATGCTAAAGCATAAGCTTATTCTGCTTTTCCAGGATTATTTTATCATTTAGATGCATAAATCAAGACAGGAAGTCAATCATTTGATACATGGAAAGCAAAGTAATTATGATTTGAATTTAAATTGGTTAATCATTAATTCTTAAGGATTATAAAATATCATCATTATTAAAACTTTTTTGTGAATTTCATAATAAATTAAGATATTTTATTACCTTTGGTTATATAATTTATATGTCATTTATAAAATAGTAGTATATTATTAATTTATATTATGTGATTAAAATAAAAAAGATCCGTATTATATATTAATATGACATACTTTTTATAAGAATTAATTAATTTATTCAAAGATATTCAACATGTAGTGTTTAAGAGCTTTGAGATACTTTTCTGTATGGTCTTAAGTACCTATGGGACCAGCTGATCCTATTTTGGGAGTAGCTGCTTAATTCAAGGCTGATCCAAGCACTTAAAAAGTAAATTTAAGTATAGGAGCTTATCGTGATAATGATGGAAAGCCAGTTGTACTTGAGTCAGTTAAGAGAGTAACTAAATTAATATATAATAGGCTGAATAAATAATAAAGGAAAAGAAATTAGATAATGAATATCTTCCAGTTGAAGGACTTCAATCATTTATTGATGCTTCTATTAAATTAGGTTATGGAGATGCTTATTATGCTTAAAATGGAAAAAGTATTGCAGGATGTTAAGTATTGAGTGGAACAGGTGCAGTTAGACTTGGATTTGAATTTGCTAAGAAATTCTTACCTTAAGGTACAAAAGTATATATGCCAAATCCAACATGGCCAAATCATCATAATATTGCTAGAATGGCAGGATTAGAAATTTTGGAATATCGTTATTTTGATCCAAAAACACGTGGAGTTGATTTTTCAGGATTAGTAGAAGATTTGAATAAGGCTTAAAATGGATCAGTTATCTTATTCCATGCTTGTGCTCATNAGTGAAGAGGAAAGAAAACATAGTATTTAGATATTTGATTACTTAAATGTAAGAGGTGTACAATTGACTATTGATCCATAATTAACAGCTTTCTAAAATATGAAGATTCATTTTGAAAAACCTGGTGATTATTTTGAAGCCTATTTAGCAAGAGAACATTTGAATTATTCTTAACTTGATTATATAGGAAAATAAGCATAATAATGTGAAGAGATATTAACTCACAAATTTATAGGTTCAATGTTAGAAGATTAGGCATCATCTGTGGATGAGGCAGAAAAATTATATGCTAAAGCATAAGCTTATTCTGCTTTTCCAGGATTATTTTATCATTTAGATGCATAAATCAAGACAGGAAGTCAATCATTTGATACATGGAAAGCAAAGTAATTATGATTTGAATTTAAATTGGTTAATCATTAATTCTTAAGGATTATAAAATATCATCATTATTAAAACTTTTTTGTGAATTTCATAATAAATTAAGATATTTTATTACCTTTGGTTATATAATTTATATGTCATTTATAAAATAGTAGTATATTATTAATTTATATTATGTGATTAAAATAAAAAAGATCCGTATTATATATTAATATGACATACTTTTTATAAGAATTAATTAATTTATTCAAAGATATTCAACATGTAGTGTTTAAGAGCTTTGAGATACTTTTCTGTATGGTCTTAAGTACCTATGGGACCAGCTGATCCTATTTTGGGAGTAGCTGCTTAATTCAAGGCTGATCCAAGCACTTAAAAAGTAAATTTAAGTATAGGAGCTTATCGTGATAATGATGGAAAGCCAGTTGTACTTGAGTCAGTTAAGAGAGTAACTAAATTAATATATAATAGGCTGAATAAATAATAAAGGAAAAGAAATTAGATAATGAATATCTTCCAGTTGAAGGACTTCAATCATTTATTGATGCTTCTATTAAATTAGGTTATGGAGATGCTTATTATGCTTAAAATGGAAAAAGTATTGCAGGATGTTAAGTATTGAGTGGAACAGGTGCAGTTAGACTTGGATTTGAATTTGCTAAGAAATTCTTACCTTAAGGTACAAAAGTATATATGCCAAATCCAACATGGCCAAATCATCATAATATTGCTAGAATGGCAGGATTAGAAATTTTGGAATATCGTTATTTTGATCCAAAAACACGTGGAGTTGATTTTTCTGGATTAGTAGAAGATTTGAATAAGGCTTAAAATGGATCAGTTATCTTATTCCATGCTTGTGCTCACAATCCTACTGGTTGTGATTTGACATCAGCTTAATGGACATAATTATTAGATTTGACTAAAAAAAAGAATTTCCTTCCATTTTTTGATATGGCTTATTAAGGTTTCACAAGTGGAGATGTAAATAAAGATGCTGAAGCAGTTAGATTATTTACAAATTAAGGAGTTTCTATTGTTTTAGGATAATCTTTTGCTAAAAATATGGGATTATATGGATAAAGAACAGGATGTCTTAGTTTTGTATGTGCTAATTAATAAGAAAAAGAGAAAGTTGTTTCATAATTGAAATTGTTAGCTAGACCATTATGGTCAAGTCCACCACTTCATGGTGCTAGAGTGGCTGATATCATTCTCAATACACCAGAACTTAATTAATTATGGTTATCTGAAGTTAAAATGATGGCAAATAGAATTTAATTAATGAGAGTAAGTTTAGCTGAAACTTTAAAGAATCTAGGTTCTCCTCATGATTGGTCACACATATCTAAATAAATTGGTATGTTTGCATTTACTGTAATAATTTAATTTATATATTTAGGGTGTTGGTCCAGATCATGTAAAAGAATTGATTGCTAAATATCATATTTATTTATTAAGTAGTGGAAGAATATCAATTGCAGGATTAAATGAAGGAAATGTTAAGTATGTTGCTGAAGCATTCCATGATGTGACCAAGAATACAAAATTGTGAAGTATTANTAGCTGCTTAATTCAAAGCTGATCCAAGCACTTAAAAAGTAAATTTAAGTATAGGAGCTTATCGTGATAATGATGGAAAGCCAGTTGTACTTGAGTCAGTTAAGAGAGTAACTAAATTTATATATAATAGGCTGAATAAATAATAAAGGAAAAGAAATTAGATAATGAATATCTTCCAGTTGAAGGACTTCAATCATTTATTGATGCTTCTATTAAATTAGGTTATGGAGATGCTTATTATGCTTAAAATGGAAAAAGTATTGCAGGATGTTAAGTATTGAGTGGAACAGGTGCAGTTAGACTTGGATTTGAATTTGCTAAGAAATTCTTACCTTAAGGTACAAAAGTATATATGCCAAATCCAACATGGCCAAATCATCATAATATTGCTAGAATGGCAGGATTAGAAATTTTGGAATATCGTTATTTTGATCCAAAAACACGTGGAGTTGATTTTTCTGGATTAGTAGAAGATTTGAATAAGGCTTAAAATGGATCAGTTATCTTATTCCATGCTTGTGCTCACAATCCTACTGGTTGTGATTTGACATCAGCTTAATGGACATAATTATTAGATTTGACTAAAAAAAAGAATTTCCTTCCATTTTTTGATATGGCTTATTAAGGTTTCACAAGTGGAGATGTAAATAAAGATGCTGAAGCAGTTAGATTATTTACAAATTAAGGAGTTTCTATTGTTTTAGGATAATCTTTTGCTAAAAATATGGGATTATATGGATAAAGAACAGGATGTCTTAGTTTTGTATGTGCTAATTAATAAGAAAAAGAGAAAGTTGTTTCATAATTGAAATTGTTAGCTAGACCATTATGGTCAAGTCCACCACTTCATGGTGCTAGAGTGGCTGATATCATTCTCAATACACCAGAACTTAATTAATTATGGTTATCTGAAGTTAAAATGATGGCAAATAGAATTTAATTAATGAGAGTAAGTTTAGCTGAAACTTTAAAAAATCTAGGTTCTCCTCATGATTGGTCACACATATCTAAATAAATTGGTATGTTTGCATTTACTGTAATAATTTAATTTATATATTTAGGGTGTTGGTCCAGATCATGTAAAAGAATTGATTGCTAAATATCATATATATTTATTAAGTAGTGGAAGAATATCAATTGCAGGATTAAATGAAGGAAATGTTAAGTATGTTGCTGAAGCATTCCATGATGTGACCAAGAATACAAAATTGTGAAGTATTATTCAATTATTAATATAACATTATTATTTGAATGATTTAATATAGCTTTATTAAATATTTATCGTACATTCTGAGTTGATTGAAATCTACAAAAGAACATTTTTAATACAAGATTTATTAAAACAATCTAAATATTAAGATAATGAAATAAGAGTGATTTTAATATTGATAATTAATAATGCTCAATAAGTACACTCTTGAATTTCTATTCAAAGATTAAGCTGAACAATATGAAAACTATTCCAAATAATCTAAACTAAGAGAAGTAACATACTTCACCATCTATTCAGTTGTAATTATTCTACTCTACTATAGTCCTTTTCCATTTTAAACACCACAAAATTTATCTTACGAGATTCTATTCCTTATTCAATACTTAGTGGAATATCTGTTTTTGCTATATTGATACTATGGAAAATACTACAAAAAAAACTACACTTAATCAATTTAATTGTAACCATTTATCAAATGTTTTTGCTTTGTGCTTTTAAAATGCCTTAATTATTTGATGGTACATCTAATCCAACTTTAGATCAATCTTGGTATTATGGGTTTTAATGTGGTTACTTACATTTTAGTGTTTATCTTTTAAGTGCAAACTTCATTTATCAAACTTTTCTACTGATTATTGTTATCGCCCTTCATTTATATTAAGATAACATAGATATTAAAGATGGTATTATTAATATATTTCTCTTTGTTTTTTTGGCTATGAGTATGATAGCCATCAAATACAATTATGAAAAAACTAAAAAAGAATAATATGTTTAGAGTTGTCAACAAGAAAGATGGGAATAATTATTAACAAAAGTATTATCAAGTTCTATTTTACTTGTATCACATGATAAAAAATAAGATTAATTGTAACTTGAAAAAGAAAACAAATTTTCGTAAATTTTATTTAGATTAAAAGATAGTGAAAATTTACGATTGTTACTCAGATAAGTATATGAATTTTTTAATTTATTAGTTAATCTTATCTTCCAGTAGAGATCCAGAAGATAGTGTTTCAAATGTAGTTCATATTAATATGGAAAATACATTAAGAAGATTCTTAATACATACTTAAGAATTTGCTGATTCTTTTAAAACTTATAAATATACTGTTTAACATTAAAAAACTTAGAAGTTTTATAATGTTAAAATACTCAGATGTGTATTTAATAATAAATTACAATGTTTATTGATTATTGATCCAAAAAAAAAATATTTTTATCATTAAACTTAAGTATTATGGAGAATCCTTTAGAATATAACTGAAACGGCAAATGAATAATCACGTTTTTTAATCAAAATGCTTAATAAGTTTAATCAAATTTCAATTAAATAAAAATTTCCAGATTAAAAATTTTATTTTAATCACAATTTCATATAGAATATGTAAATCATTTTTTAAAACAAATCTAATCGACTTAAATTATAAGATATAACTTAAAATTCATTAAAAAATGCACTTGATCCATTAATTGGATCTGATTCTTAAAAAATATTACTTGTTTAATCATTTATTCATGATATTTCCATAATTCAGTAATTATTAATTTCATGCTTTTACATATTATAGCAAATATTTAAAGATCTAAAAATTCTACAAATATTAATTGAAAATAAAAAAACAGAAATTTTATTTTAAATTAAAATAAAAGAAAGAGACAAAACTATTTAAACTAAGATTTTAGAAATCTTACAAACAAATTGGGTCAAATCTCCAAAAGGATTCTTTCATAAAACTAATGTTCCTTAATCACTTTTAGAAAGAATGAGTTATTTGACATAATAGTTTTAGATACCTATAAATCTATTACTTAATATAAGTATCACTTAATTAATTCTTTCTGAGTTTGGAGTTTATAATCATTTAGATATTATACAAGATAATAATGAATTTACTTTTACATTTTCCTTAGTACCTTAAATTTAATGATTTATTATTATATTAAATTACTTAAATACTATATATTAATATTTATAAATATAAAAAAATGTAATTAATAGCTGTGTTAATTGCTGCATATAATCCAATTGAAAAGAAAGTTATTATGCTTACAAGATATTATGAATTGAATTCAGTAGGAATATTCTATAGAAATACTGTGAAAGATTCTATGAAATTTGTTTGTAGAGAATCAGTGATTGGACTTGACAAAGGAACTAGGTAATAAATTAAATTTATTTGAAGACATTCAGTGTTACATGAAGATAAATATTGTCACATATAAATGAGTTATGGAAATGATAAATTAGGAGCATATGCATTTTGTGATTAAGATTATCCTAAAAGAATAGCATTTGCATTTTTAAATGCAGTTTTATAAGCATTTTAAAAGAAAGTAGGTGATGAATGGAAAAAGTATAAAGAAGATGAAAGTATAGAAGTTCCAGAAATAAAGCAAGTATTAATATGAAGTTAACATAAAGTTATTTTAAGAGTATTAAGATCCAAAGAATGTTGATAAAGTTCTATTAGCATAAACAAAAGTAGATGAAACTAACATAATTTTACATGAGAATATAAAAAAATTATTAGAAAGATAAGGTGATTTAGATTAATTAGTTGCTAAGAGTAATGATTTATCAGCTGGTGCAAAAATGTTCTATAAATAATCTAAAGATATGAATAAAAAGAGCTGTTGTGAAATTTTTTGAATTTTTCATATTATTGAAAAGAGATATATATAATTTAATAATTCAAACTTTATTATGTATACTATATTTTGTTTTACTAAAAACCTTTCTAAATTCCTACATATAAACAGAATTGCTTTTTCGAATATTTTGAGAATCTTGTCTTTGAGAATCTTATCTTTAAGTTAATTTTGATGGAATTAATGATTATCTATGTGTAGAAGATATTCTTGATTTAGAATCATCATTCATAGTTTTACAGATATTCAAAAAGCTTTATTATTATTTTTACATCTAATAAATTAAATAATATAAAAATACTTGTAATTTCATAAGATTAACTATGGATCCTTAATAAGGATTTGTAGTATTATGAGATGATTAAGTTTTATGTCTTAAATTTGATTGATAAGCTTCATTTTCTAAATTAATTTTTAATCTCATTTATTGTTTAAGATATGATTCTGAAATAAATAATGTATTATATATACTTTAAGGTATTTATGATTAATGATTAGACTCTGATTATTTGATACTACGATAACTTTTGGACTGATTATTTAGTGAAGATGTTTTATTTTGTTGTTTTAAATAATAATCTAATTATTGAGTTTAATGTCTTTAAATTTTAGAATCATCTTATTATTAAGTATGATGATGTTAGGTAGTTTTTCTATAAATTTTATAACATCAATTATTTTACATACTTAGTAGGTTAACTACATACAGCAAATGTACGTTCTAATGATTTACATATAGTTTAAGGTTTATTACATGTATTCACATTTGAGCTGACAACTAATATGTTATCAAAGAAACTATCATTCATATTCATCTATTTTGAATTTAAATATTATTAAAATAAAATGAATTAAGAAAAACAAAAAAAATTATATTGGCATCATTTTATTGCTGGTTTAGTTGGAGGATTCATTAGTGTAACTGTATGCCATCCTTTAGAAGTAGCAAGAAGCAGATTAAATCTCTAAGTAATTATATAACAATTGTAAGAATGCCACTAAATCTGTAAATAAATATCAAGGTTTCATTAACACACTTTGTGTTATTTATAAAGAAGAAGGTCTTGCAGGTTATTACAAAGGTATAAAGCTTACTCATTAAAAGGTTATCGAGCTACAGCAGTTGCTAATCCAATATTTCATTCACTTTTCTTTCCACTCTATAAATGGAATAAAGAAAAATTAGAATATTCATATGGAATATATGGTTTCTAGAATCATCTTATGGCAACAATAATCACAGGGTTTGTTTGTGATTTAATAACTAATCCTTTATGGGTATATAAATGCAATTAACTTTTATTTAAAGTTAATCAGAACTAGAATGTAAACATAATACTTGCATGATCACAATCATCCTAAATATACATCTGTTTTTAGAGGGTTAATTACTTTGTATAAAGAAGTAATCAATAAAATATACTTTTAGGAAGGTTTCCTTGCTTTATACAAAGGTCTTGGAGCTACTGTTTTGGGTCTGTCTCATGTAGCAGTATAATTTCCAATATACGAGAGATTAAAATAAAATTATACTGATAAGAATGGTTAACTTTTACCAGTTGATATTCTCAAAGCCTCAATATTATCAAAATGTAGTCTCTTTTAAATACATAATATATATAGCAATCGCTGTCTTAGTAACCTATCCTCATGTGGTTATAAGAACTAGATTACATGATAATAAAACTGTATATAAGAATGGCCTTAGATCAAGAGTTAGAATTATTGATATTTGTAGAGTTATATATGAATAAGATTCTATTGGAGGATTCTACAAAGGATTAATACCAGATTTAATAAGGGTATTACCTACTAATAGTATAACATTTCTTGTTTATGAACTATTCAGTTAATACTTAGGAAAACATTTTTGAATGGATATAATGCATTTAAATATTTTTAAGAGAAAGTGAATAAATTGTATTATTATAATAATAAGTAATTTTCAGTGTTTAAATAAATATATTCTTAATTCATCTTCATTCTCTTTTTATTAAGATTTCTAACATTGTCATATTATTTTTCACTATTTATTTGATATTCTTATATCTAATTAAAAACTAATAATATTATATTTGATTAAAGGGAAAAGAGATATAATTATTTATTAATAAGTAAATAATTTATTTAAAAACACACTAATATGAATTATAAATTTATCATCAATTTTGATAATTTTCTGTTTTCATTGTATCTATTCCTAATTCATCGTTATCTTCTGGAGTTCTATCAAAAAGAGTTATTTTAACTTAAGTATCTTCATTTGGATAGTAAGGGTTTTAAATGAAACTGTTTTCAACTAAATCCCTTATTATTAAAGTAAATTTAGATTTTCCTGATTTGAATTCTTCTAATTTCTAAAAGAATGATTCCATCTTTTTTCTATAATTATCATCAGCACTATCACCTACAAATGGATTCTAATAATAAATTATAATATATACATTATCTCTTAAACGTGTTAGAATTTATTCTAATAATCCTTCAACATTTGAATATACTCCACCTAATGTACCTGTTCCTAATTCTAATTCAATTTCAGGAATTATTAATTTAGCAGTGTCTGATTTAAATACATCTCTACATAAATCCTTTTCATTTTCAAATTTCAATTCTATTATTTTACCTTATTTACTAATCTCACCTGTTGCTTTAACCTCTGTATCTTTGAATCCACAAAATCCACAATTAAAACTCATTATAAGAATTTCTTTAAAATGAGGTATTGTGACTGTGCACATTTTGTTTTCTCCCATTTCCTTACAAACATTACATGGTGTTGGAATATTGATAGATTCATTCTTTACAGAATCTTCTATTGATTAATTGAAATTTTATCCACCAGCCTATATTTATTCTGTTCCTTAATGAATTGGATCAGCTATTATTTATTATTATTATTATAATTATTAGACTTCTTATTTTTAATTTTCAGCACTATATCCCATAGCTTCTAACTCTTCTATTGTTCTTATGTAATGTTAAATTTTGAGTGAGGGATCATCTTAAAGTTCATTTAGATTTTAAATGAAACTATTTCCAGAAGGGTCTTCAAGCATCCAATTAAAAGGTAATCCTTAACCTTCTTTGAATTCCTTTAATTTTCCTATAATATATTCAATTCGATCATAGACTTCCACTTATGTGAATTTTCTTATAGGTTAATCATGTGATAAGTCATCAATAATATTTTAAAGGAATCCTTCTAAAGTATTGATACTACTTTTCTTATTGGATGGCATTTCAAACTCTAATTCTGGAATTAAAACTTTACAGAATTCTGATCGAATTATCTGTCTTTATAGATCCTATAAATCTAAATAATTATTACTTTAGGTTCATTGACTTTTAAATGCAATTTAATTCCTTTTTCTTTAATCTCTCCACCAAATTAAACTTCATTGTTTTTATATCCACAATGTTCACAATCAAAAGAGACAATGATAATATTTGAGAACATAGGTATTTTAGTCAATAAAATTGTAGTTTTACCTTGTTTCTCACAATTTACACATAAGCTATCAGTAACAAAAGCTATTTTCTTATGATAAATTATTACGCTCTGAATCGCCTGTAAGGTTAGCATATATTACTTCTGGATTATTCATTAATTAATATTTTAACAAATAAATAAACTTTTGATTTTTAAATGAAACTAATATAGTCTTTAAATAAATATTATTTTCTGATGATTATATATATTAAGACATAATAAATTTAATCAATTTATCAATTATTATTATTAAATTTCCTCTTACATAGATACATCTTCTTAATGTTCTTCTTACATTTCTCCTTCTTCATCCCATACATCTTCCCATTCTCCTTCATTTCCTCTTAATTCTCCAAGATCTTCAAATTCTTTTACTAATTTTCCCCAATCTTTTGGAAATGGATCATTTGTATTATCCCATCCATTTTATAAAAATGAAATCATTTCTTATTCATTTAATAAACAACTTTCAAATGCATTTAAAATTTCTTATTTTGGTAAATTTTATCCAATAAACACAAGTTCTTATCTTCTATCTCCAATAGGTTCAGGTAACCAATTCTATTTAAGTCCATCCCAAATAGCCTATTAATATAATTATATAATTTACATCAACTTCTTCTTTAGTATCAGCCCAAACCTTTTTAGGTATAGATATCCACCAAAATGAACCAGGATGATATGTTAATTAAGTTCCAGCCTTATGTATATGAATGTTTAATCTTTCCCAACTTGCAACCCACATATATCCTTTACATCTTATTATTGTATTCCAAAATGAGACTTCTTCTGTATTATTTCTTTCTATAAGTTAAAATAATCTTTCAGGATGGAAAGCTCTTCTTGATTTGAAAGCACATGATTAGATTCCATATTCTTCAATTTCACTTTTATGAATTGGTTTTTAAAGTTCAGCTATCCACTTTCCAGTTGTAGAGGCTTCTTCAAAATTGAATAATTTAGTATTTATAATTTCTTTTAAATCTATTTATCCTTAAACAGATTCAATAACCTTAGCATTAGGATTCAATTTTTTAAGTAGATTTAATATAAATTCTTTTCTTTCTTAATTCACAAGATCTGTTTTATTTAATATTATAACATTAGCAAACTCAACTTGATCCAATAACAATTATGATAATGGAATTTAATCCATCTATTTGTTATCTACATTCATTTCTTCACCTAATTTATCTGATTACAATTAATCTAAGAAATTCAAAGCATCAATCTAAATAATAAATAATAAAAGATACCATAGTAACCATTGTATCAAGTCTAGCAAACTTCTTCAACATCTATCCCTTCTTTCTCATCTCTTCATTTTCAAAATAAAATGCTTATGCTATTGGCAAAGGCTCAGCTATTCCTGTACTCTCAATCAACATATAATCAAACTTCCCAGATTTGGCTATCTTCGATATATGTTTGATTAAATCCTCTCTAATATAATTTATATTATATATACCTTAATGTACAACATATACATCCATTTGACATTTCAACAAGTTTTTCTTTTGTTTTTTTCA